CTGAGGGGACCTGACCACTTGCCTTGATATCTCCTGGGCAAGCAACTTGCTCGTTCTTTTAGTAATCAGTCGGTCTGCCTATATTGTTTTGTATTTTTCCTGTCGATCTTTCTTTCAAGAAGTATCTTCTGTTCTTCTAGCCACTCCAGGCTGATCTGCCCGTCCTTTCAACAGGAAATTTCCTACCTCAGAACTATTTCTTAGATTAACTGTCAGAACTACTACATTGGGAACCTGCAATAATATTGCTTCAATTTAATCAGAATTTTCATACGCTTTTCCAGATACGAAGTTAATACTTACTTGACTATGCCATAGCCCAGGCTGACTATGATGACCAGGGTTCGAGCCAGTGAGCGTTTTACAGCTGAAAGCAATTCTGCAAGGATCAAGGCACCTTGAACTATCAGAAAAAAGAGAGAGAACACTGTAATCTAGACTTAGTAAAAGGTACAATTTTAGTATGGGAGTGTATATCAATAGCACTCTTCAGAATAAGCACTAGTTTTAGTTCTATTTTTAAAAGAACACTTCTGCAATTTTTAAAAATACTCAAGTAGATACCAGGTAAGATGGTGCAACCTGTGTATAATACTAATCTGGGTGTGCTCAATCCACTTCCCTCACACCCCATTAAAACCCTGGCAGAATATCTTACCTCATATGGGCCATCGATATCATCTTAGAGAATTTTTTGAAATATATATATATGAAAGAAAAGCATCCCAAACACACACACAGTTTTTAACTCAATTTCCACTTCTATTATTTGAGCCAAACCAAACTCATTACCACCAAGTCAATTCTGACTCATAGTAACCTTGTATAGTGTTCTGAGGCTGTAAATCTTTTCTGGAGCAGAAAGCCTCACCTTTTTCCTGTGGAGCTGCTACTGGATTTGAACAACCAACCTTGTGGTTAACATTCCCCTGCTTATCCTACAGTACCAAAGGACACCTTCTATTTTTCTAACGCCCTTTCAAAGACCAAGGAAAGATTTAATCAGTATATCTTTGACAATAAGTATTACTAATCAAATGGTATAAAGAGAGAAAACTGAAGATAGCAAAAAGCTTCAGTATCACACGATTTCTGTCATTATCAAGCTACCTTACTAAACCGTAAGCATCCCTCAATTTTCTTGTTACTCTGTATTTTATAATTTATTAGATGCACTAATCCCTTACATTTTAACATGTCTGACATCAGGTTGTGTCTTACAAGTAATTACATCTTGCAAATAAATAAACCAAACCTAAACCCATTTCCCTCCAGTCGATTCCAACTTAGTGATCCTGAAGGACACAAGGGGACATAGTAGTAGTCCCAAAAGGTTTCTAAGGCTGTAAATCTGTAGAAGCAGACTGCCACATCTTTCTTTCATGGAGCGACTGGCAAGTTTGAACACTAACAAACTTTCTGTGAACAGCTGAGCACTGAGTCATTGTGCTACCAGAGCAAATTCAAAATTAAATTGTTGTGGTGATTGTTAAGCGCTGTTGAGTCGATTTTGACACACAGTGATACTGTATATGGTTTGTTGTTGTTAAGTACTGTGGAGTCAGTTCCAACTCACAGTGACCCTATACAAGGTTTCCGAGGCTGTAAATCTTTATGGGAGCTTAACGCCTCATCTTTCCCCCACGGAACCGCCGGTAGTTTTGAACTGCTGACCTTGAGGTTGGCAGCCTGACTTGTAACCACTATGCTACCAGAGCTCCTATATAGTTTTTGTTGTTGTTAGGTGCCATCGAGTTGGTACCAACTCATAGAGACCTTATGCACAGCAGAATGAAACAGTGTCTGATCCTGGGCCAACCTCACTACTGTTGCCATGCTTGAGTCCATCGATGCTGCCACTTGGCCAATCCATCTCGTTGGGGGTTGGTCTTCCTCTTTTTCTCTGACTCTCCACCTTATCAAACATGATGTCCTTCTCCAACAACTGCTCCCACCTGACAATATGTCCCAAGTATGAGAGATGAAGCTTGGCCGTATTGGCCTCCAAGGAGCACTCTGGCTGCACTTCTTCCAAAATGGATCTGTTGGTTCTTTTAGCAGCCCATGGCACTTTCAATATTCTCCTCCTACACTATAACTCAAAGGCATCAATACTTCTATGGTTTTCCTTATTCACTGTCCAGCTTTTGCATGCATATGACGTTACTGAAAATACCATGGCTTGGGTCAGGCGCACCTTAGTCCTCAAGCTGACATCTTTGCTCTTCAAAACTTTCAAAAGGTCTTGTGCAGATTTCCCTAATGCAATATATCGCTTGATTTCTTGACTGCTGCTTCTGTGTGTTGATAGTTGATCCAAGAAAAGTGAAGTCCTTGACAACTTCAAACTTTTCTCCATTGATTAGAATGTTGTTTATTGGTCCATTGGTGAGGATTTTTGTTTTCTTTACATTGGGATGTAATCCATACCGAAGGCTGTGGTCTTTGATCTTCATCTGCAAACATTTTAAGCCCTCTTCACTTTCAGCAAGCAAGATTTACAAGACTATAAATCTTTACGGGAATACTTTCTTCCTTAGATGTACAAAACAATAAAACCTTACAAATCAATGTGGACTAAGAGTAGAGGACAGTAAGAATCTTTCCCAAAATGGCCACTGATATTTAAAATAACTTTATGAATATATTTCCATAACATTATTCTTATATCGGAGTCCTGCTGTGTCGCTGTAGAATAAGCACTCGATCACAAGGTCAGTGGTTCAATCTAGCAACCAGTCCTCAGAAACCCTATGGTGGTGGTGATTGTGTGTCGTGGAGCCAGTTCTGATTTACAGCGATCCTGTAAGGGTTTCTGAGGCTGTAAATCTTTATGGGAGCAGACAGCCTCATCTCCCATAGAACCGTTCGTTGGTAGTTTTGAACTGCTGACCTTGAGATTAGCAGCCCAACTCATAACCACTATGTTACCAGAGTGCCTTTGGAAACCCTATCCAGGGTTATTATGAGTCAGAACCGACTCGATAGCACTTCAAATCAGTAATTCTTATATCACGAACCCAAAAATTATGAGATTAAAAACAGTCAAAACCACAGTGATTCTGCTTATGTTAATAATTATGTAACTGAAAAGCTAGATCTATTTTATGACTGCTGAACTCAGAAAAATTTTCACATATTTTCTTTGTCGGACAGGAGCCCTGGTAGTGTAGGGGGTTATGAGTGGGCTGCTAACCTCAAGGTCAACAGCTTAAATCTACCAGCTGCTCTGCAGAAGATGAGGCTTTCTGCTCCCATGAAGATTTACAGCCTCAGAAATCCTATACAGGGTCGCCATGAATCAGAACTAACAACTCCATGGCACACAGCCACCACTACCATGACCTGTCAATCACTCACAAAAACAGCAAATTCTCTTTGGCTACATACCAGATTCTCCTTTATATCGGATGTTCTGAAATTCCGCATAGAAGACAGCTTTTTCCAGCATTCCCAGGAAGATGACAGCACCAATCCAAAACTGAATTCTCAGGAGATCTCTCCAATAGCAGGCAGACCATGCCAGCCAGAGAACACCAAACAGGACATATACAATGCACATCACCATGAAAAACTATCATCCGGTGGAGAAGAGATAAAAAAGAAAATTAGGGACAAGAGCCAAGTATCTATCTAGACTCTGTTTCAATATATCATCTTATTAACAAACCACTAAAAAAAAGTAAAAAACAAAACCTTCTATTAAAATAACTCCTTTACATTTCAATAGTAATACAAAACAACTGTCTTCTCTTGAGCAGAGGGACACATTAAGACTTATCGTCAAGTGACTGCCCTCTCCTGTACTGAAAGAGCTTTTTCAATTCACGATCTATAACTGTGTAAGAGAAGACGACACGGAGAAAGAAGAAAAGGTATGGCAGGAGTCGTAGGAAACGTTTGGAGAAAGTGAAACATGACAAAATGGGAAAACCATAAAAGGGTAAAGAGGAAGAAAGTAAAAATCATTCATGAACAAAGGAAATCAGAAAATAAATTATTCTCATAAACACAACAATGAAAATATTCTTAAACACAACAATGAAAAACAAACAATGAAGATCTGTTACTAGTTAACTTTAGGTGGGATTAGGAACTACAGGGCCCTAGAAAGCATGAGCTGACCTCTGAGGTGCTTTCCAGTGCTTAAAGTTCACAAGTCATCAACCCCTTCATTATAATGAGGAGAAAATGAGCCACAGAGAAATTCAATGAACCCTCCAAAGGTCTTATTCTAGTAAGAAGTTCAAAACTAGAAGCAACATTTACTGAAATGCTCCTAACAATTCTTGAAAATTGAATACTGCCACAACACTTAGGCAATTTTTCAAGTGAAGTTAATTCATCTTGAGGTTTAAAAATATAAACTCACAATCATCAGTGGATATTCTTCTAGTGTGAGGTATTCATAGGGACCCTTCACTTCAACAGTCACTGTAAAACACAATCCTCAGAATAAATTTAATGAAGCCAGAAATGGAGACCATTGTCTTTTATTAGATCATTTAGTTTGAACAATTTAAATCCTGGAAAATACTATAATACATGCCAACAGCACTTTGCATTTCATCAAGTGTTTTCACAGTTCAAACCATGTCCTGCACAGCCCCGCCTCTGCCCCAAACATTATCTGAAGTGGAAAAGGCCTTTTGTTCTCATGAAAATATCCTTTAAGGCCTAGATTAAACGCTATTTCCTCTACAATGCCTTCTCTAACCTTCCCAGCTAGTCTCCACCTCTTCTAAACTACAAACGTGCTTCATATGTTCTTTTTTTCACATCACTAATATACTTTGAAAAGTACAGAACCTCTTTTCTTCATTCAGGGCCAGAAAGAGCAGGGGAAGCCCAAAACACTTAATAGTTGTGGTGCCCCCTCCTCTGCTTACTCACACATTCAAATGGGATCTGAGTTATGTGTGTGTGTCTTAGCTACCCAAGAGGTAACTTCTTTTTAAACAGTACCAATCAGTTAAAAGAAAGTCAGTCTGATGGGAAATGGAAAGTAAAAGACATTTATATCATTTTTTATAATTATATATTTAATTTTGTTCCTCAAGGAACTGTTCAATTCCCTTACACAAGCTTATGTAATGTTCTGATAACCATACTGTAGTGTTCTTGGCAGACATATTTTGCATCTTCTTAACCTGCCCAGTACTTTATTTTGCATACGTAACAGCAATACCAAGCACTGCACCCTGTACAATCAAGAACAACTTACTTGATACATAAATTAAAACTTTTGTGCCAGACAAATATTAATATTTTCATTATTTTTTTAAATGTTTGCTATGTTAGTATTAGGAGTCCTGGTGTGGTGCTGCAAGATAACGTACTCAACCATAAGGTCAGTTTGAACTACAAAGTCAAGCGGTTCAAACCCACCAGCTGCTCATCAAAAATCCTATATAGGATTGCTATGGCTTGGAAATGACTCGCTGGTACTTAAAGAAAATGATGATGTTAGTATTAGGAGTTCTGGTGTGGCCCTGTACGATAAGCCTTGGACCGCAAGGTCGGTTTGAACTGCAAAGTTGGCAGTTCAAACTCACCAGGTGTTCCCTAGAAACCCTATACAGGGTCATTGTGAGTTGGAACTGACTCAACAGCACTAAACAATGTTAGTATTAAATTATTACCCATGTTGATACTATAGTAAATGCATGCTAAACTGTGTGTATGCCACACATATTTTTAAATTAACGTTATAAATATTACTGTTTATAAAATTTAGGATATAACTGTATATAAATGCTACAGGTAAAAAGCAATTTGACTGAATTCATTACAATGATCGACTTATTTGAATTCCCTCGCTTTTGTGCACCACTTTTTATGCTGTTTTTTTTTTGGAGGGAGAGGTGAGCTCAATCTTTCCCTGGGTCTAGGAGGTTCTCAGCACAGGGACCCCAGGTCAACAGGACTCACTGTTCTCGGCTGTTTTTCTTGGTGGTGGTTGTTGTTAAGTGCTTCGAGTTGATTCCAACCCACTGCGACCATGTATAGGGTTTCCAAGAAGCAGCTGGTGAGCTTGAACCACCAACCTAGAAGTTCAAATGACTTTGCAGTCTGACGCATTAGCCCACAGAACCAGTGGGTCTTTTTCTGTTTGATTCTGTCTTTGATCTTTTATAAGATAAATGTGATGCAGGCCACACCTTAGGGAAAGTCTCCTTACCTTCAATCAGAGCTGGGACCCAACCTAACCCCTTACTATAGCTGCAAAACTACTTACTATACTGCAAAAACAAAAATCATGGCCCAGCCAAGTGGACACATATTTTGGGAGGACACAATTCAATCATGACACTAGGCAGATAAAGAATATTTGAATATCATACTTACTTAATGGAGATTGTACCAGTATTGCCAAGTCAGGAACAAGATAAAGAAGGTCGCCATCATTGTTTCTATATATTACGTGTTATGGATTGAATTGATCCCCTCAAAAGTAAGTGTGGTAAATCCTAACTTCTATGACCTGATTATAATTTCATTTGAGAATGGGTTGTCTTATTACTAAAGTAGAATTAGTATAGAAGGTTATTTGACTCATTCTTTTTTTTTTGACTTTAGAAACAGAAATTTAGTTTCTCACACTTTAAGAGTTTAAAAGTCCAAATTCAGAGTGCTGGTTCTACCAGAAGAAAGCTTTCTTTCTTTGACTGCTCTGAAGGAAGGTCTTCATCTCTTCATCTTCTGCTTCTGGGTTCACTGGAGATCTCCACGTGTCTTTGCCATCTGACAAGCTAGCAAAGACACGAGACAGGAGGAGTATGCAAAGCACATGAAGACTGCCCAGGAGTAGAAGCTCTGAAGAGACAAGATCTTCCTCCAGACCGTACAGAGAGACAAAGTCTTCCACAAAAGCTAGCACCACAAATTCAGACTTAGCGCCTCTGACTGGTGAGAAAGTTCATTTCTGTTTGCTCAAGCCATCCACTTGTGGTTTTCTGTTATAGTAGCACTAGATAAGCAAGACAGTGAGGCTTGACAAAACAGACGCGGTAAAGAAATTGCAAAGCAGAAGGAAGGGAAAAAAAAAAAAAATACCATAACAATTAAGACCAATGATAAAGTTACTGCAAAACTCCAGGTAAAACTTCATGAACTGGACTGTGATGTAGAAAGGAAAAGACTAAGAAAAACGCCTGATATTAGTAAGTTAGAAAACTAGGTGCAAACATTTTAACAAGTCAAGAATGGTGATATGATGTATCAATTTTCAAAATGCAGGAGGACCAAAGGAAAAAACACACAGAAATCTAATGTACACAATCTAAGAAAGCAAATGTGAAGTGCCTAGGACTAGGCCTGGTATACACTGGATGCAGAAAATGTTTTAACTTCCCGTAACCCAATTCTTAAGGAGCTCTGGTAGCATAGGAGTTACGAATTGGGCTGCTAAACTCAAGGTCAGCAGTTCGAAACTACCAGCTGTTCCACGGGAGAAAGATGAGGCATTCTGCTCCCGTAAAGGTTTATAGCCTTGGAAACCCTGTGCAGAGTAACTATGAGGTAGAACCAACTCTATGGTACTTAACAACAACAAACCCAATTCTTCCACTTCACAACACACATTCATAATAAACTGCTCCCTCCTCTTAAAGCAATTTTATACTATCCATTACAGCAGTACATTATACCCACAACAGAGACTTTAACACAAATGTTTAAAAAGAAAAGAAACAAACAACTTACTGGTAAAAAGATTACTTAGTGAATTTTCCTTCAATGAATCCTTTAAAGATGAAATCCCAATATGTACAATAAAAATGTACGGTGCATCCTGCCACGTTTTCAATGGTTCATGCATTACCTAGCGTGGAAAAAACAAACAAACCAGCAAACATCAAGTCTTAAGAATTTAGAATGTTGTTGTTGTTGTTGTTAAGTGCCGTTGAGTCAGTT